TTTTTTTTTTGCTTCTGCAACTGTAATTTTGCAGAGATCTTCTTCCTCCGATTTGTAGCAATAATTGATGGCGTATGTGTTGTTAAGCCGGAAAATTACCTCGAATAATTTACGAGGCCCTCCTTCTAGCGCCAAACTGTTGTTACCAAAAATTGATCAACATGGGGGGTTCAGAGGAATTTATTGTGTATTTTTGGATATATATTTTCGATGAATTTTGTATGAATTTCTGAGGATTTTCTTTGTACATGTTTGTGATAATGAAGTAAAAGATGAAGAAGAAAAGAGGCACCGCCTCTGATCAGAGCGAGAAAATAATAATAATGCCCCTCAGACTTATCTATCCAGGTCCATCATTGGGGTATTTATATATATGTTTAATGGGCCCGATAATATCACAAGCAATTTTATTTAAGGCCCAAAAAATATCCCAATAATAAAATAATTAATATAATACATATCCACGAAATATCCCAATAATAAAATAATTAATATAATACATATCCACGTGTAATATTATTAATAGGTTAGGCCAAAATTAGGTATCAACAAGGTAATTTATTATAAAAGTATTTATAAATATTAGAAAAAATATGTGAGTGTTAGACCTATGAAACAAAATTTTTATCTCATTAGGAAAATATGCTTAATTTGATAAAATATAAATACATTAAATTTGTTTTTTAAGTTTGAAATTTGTTTTAAAAAAATAATTTCATATTTGTCAAGTCAAAGTGACATTATGGCATTAAAAAAAAATAGATAGAGAACAATTAAGAGTTGGGCGTGGAAGACTATTGTCTGTATTCACAAATCTCCAATTTAATACAAAGTGAAAATTTAATGCAAAATTTAAAGGGAGAATAGTTATTAATCATTTAGTGCAAACTTTTAATGCAAATTAATGCAAATTTTGAGCGGGATTTTGTGAGTTGCTTTGCTTTAATATATATATAGATTTGCAACTCCATTAAATATTCAATCAACAAAGTATTTAGGGCGTGATTGTTTATAAGTTGTACAGTAAATATTCCACTCAAAACTCAAATTTAACTCAACTTTAACTCAACTCCACTATTTTCAATATTATCAATATAATTAAATAATATCAAACAATTATTATTACACATCACATCAACTTTAATTTACTATTCACCCACTCACATAATTTTAACTAATCATCACTTCCAATCATTTTCTTCTACTTTTACATCAAATCAACTTTAATTATTTTAATTTAAATATTATTTTAATATATCCACTAACAACTAACCATATTACTTTTTTTCAAATTTAACTATAGTTAAAAAAAACTAGTTTTTTACTAGTTGAATTCATATCCAATCACCCCCTTAATGTCTGTGCAAAGTCCTTCATTCCTTGTTACGTGTGTAACATTATAATAATTCATATTCATCTATTACTATATAATACGGAGAAGAAAAATTATTTGAACAATTCGAAAATAATCATTTCGTTTTCCCGCTTCAATATAGTGTTTTCCCGCTTCTTCAATTCGTAAAATTTTTTTTTGAATTTTTTCAGCACATGCAATTAGGTAACCAATCAAATCGAACCTTTTAGCATTCAATTTGGTAAGGTGTTCCGATTTTAGCATTCAAATCCGATTTCACTTCCCTTTTTTTATGCCAATCAATCCGATTTTTTTGGTTGTTTCAAAATTTGTTTAGATTTAGATTTTTATTTTATTAATATATTTGAAAGAGAATCAATAGATGTTTATCATAACTTTTATTTTAAAAAATAAATTTGAATAAGCATACCTTTTACTTTATATGAAATTCAAAATTACATATTTTAATATATTAATAAACATTTATTATTTATTTTTTCCTTATGTGATATAATAGAATTTGGGTATTAAATTTGTAAATTCAAACATTTAAAGGAAAATATTCCAAACAATTTGTTTGAGTAAATTTCATTTTATCTTGGTTTTCATTATCACATTTCTAACAAACTAATTAGTATTATATTTTTCTATCTACATTATCTAACCGATTTTTTATGATACAATTAATATAATATCTTAACAAATTAATCATTTGTCTAACCGGATTTATCTCTCTAACAAACTTGTCAATTTTTTTAAAATTAAAATGGTATGATTATTCTTATGGAGATACTTATCAATATATTAAATATTTAGAAACTTTTTTTAAAAAATGAGTTATCCCTCCTTTTACTTTATTTGAAATTCTGACTTATATTTTTAAATATATTATTATTTATTTTTTTACATGTAAATATTTATTATTTATTATCTAAGTGATAAATATTATTGATTTATCTCTTTAATAAATATNANNANA